GAACAAGTTTTTAAACTCTAATCAAAAGACGATATAGAATGGTTTTAAAAATCATCACATGGTTTAACCTAAGTAATGTCAATCCTTCACAAACCAAAAATTCAACGGCCTAATACTACTATCGGCTTTCGGTCTTTCGTTCCAAGTTAAATCATTTCTCGTTTTTGTTACGCTACGAGTTTACCCTTGTGGGCCTCAGTCTCGATAAGGTGAGAATCACCATTTTAGCGTCTCTCGAATTTATTATAAACTTTGTAGTGAATGTTTGACAGCAAATAATTATACAGATCCAAGTATAGATTTATTTTTGCAGATGCCTGTGATAGATGAGAAAACTGCTATGAAATGTAATATGCCTTGCACTTATTCAATTACGGATAATATGAATAAATTGGTGGTCTTTAGAACTTTTAGTTAGTACCTAATTTAAAAACATATTTTTCCTGGAAAAGTTAAAATATTTCAAAATTATTGAAACTTTGGCAATAATTGATTTTAATATTCAAAAGTCAGTGTAGGACGTAGGTACAGGTACCATTTTACTCGTATAAGTGATTAAACAGTCACTGCCTCATATTTAAAATAGTGAGATTCATTCTTTAACTACAAACAAAAAAAAAAAAAAATTTACCAAAAAATGTAATTTTTCGGGGCTTCCCAATTTTAAAAAACTTGTGTTATACTTTTGAAAAACTTATTGGTCCTTTTAAACTATTTCATAACCTAACACTAAGAAATAAATCCTCAATGCAATATGCCTAACCTTGATAAGAAAAACAGTTAAATAAATAATTAAATTTTTAGTTTTTAATACCAAATTTATATAATTGCAAAAATTATGCTTTTTTAAAATCAAATAGAGCTGAGTGGTATATAAGAACTTAATAGTTCCAAAATTCCCTTCATAGGACAATGATTAAGTTTAATTTACTTCAAAATTAACTCTAGTTTTCGTAAAGAGATTTAAAAGAACGTATTAAAATTAGGAAGTATAATAAATATATCTTTCAGTCCTATTGGCAAAAAAAAATAAATCTTATAAAATAATTATGAGTATTTATAAAATTCAAATATAACTTAATAATCGAGGCAATGACGCCCTAAAAAGGCCAAAAATTCGGAATTTTTTTAGACTAAGACGGTTCAGAATGCGGTTTTTTGCATTCTCTTCCAACAATTTTTTGGAAAAATTTCCTTACTTTTTATCTTATACAAACTGGAAATTGCAGTGCTGCAGCCAAAAATGCATTCAAAAAATGTATTTTTTGAGGTGATTTTTGGAAGATTAAAGTACTTTGTAAATAAGAGTGAGAACTGGCCCAAATTGAGTTACCGGGGGTTTTCAAAGTCGCTGATCATGATTATGGTGTGGGACACTTTTTCCAAAAAATATTTGGAAGCGAATGCAAAAAACCGAATTCCGATCTGTCTTAGTCTAAAAAATTCCGACTATAAATGAAACTTATTTCTTTAAAAAATGTTACTCTAAAAATACATGGAGGCTGTATTTTACATCTGGCACATTCAAACTATTACATCTTTTTTATTTCAAATACATTATAATATTTATTTATTAGGTTGTATTTATTATTCTGTTTTACACTGTATTAGAGTTTCTTATATTTGAAGACAAGAAAATTTGGGATAAAACAAGAAGCTGCACAGTTGCCAAAGAGTTTTTTTAATTTTCTCTACAACACTAGATAACAAAAAAAAATATTTGACTAGTATTAGTCAGAATCAGCGCCTGCTCACAGTCGTTCTGACTGGTTATTGCCAAGTACGAAAGCATCTCCACATCATCTGGCTGTCAGAATCCGCATTTTGTAGGATCTGACGGGAAGAAGATGAGATCATCAAGCATATCTTTTACGATTTATTAAAAGATTTTTGTGTGGCGAGTATTGGCTAACATTGGCTGATATTAGAGAAGCACCTAACTACGTTAATTCTGTAGGCTCGCTGACGAGCTAAGAGAGGCCTATCAATTATTAGACGGTCAGATAGTGACTGATTTAGGTGCCTCATTTTCGCATACGAGCCTCGAAGAGGGTTGAAAAGTACATCGATTTTGATTAGAATGAAAGGAAATTTACGAATGGCCCCTGGGGATAACATAGGGATTTTCCTTAACATAAATAAAAGGTATTTTTTGCTTATTTTTCCACGCAAGCCGTTTTCAATATATGATTAATTAATAGAACTAGGCTTCGGAAAACCAAAGGCTTTAATGTTGCAAGTGGCTAAAGAGTTGAAATGAGGGCGTAATCTTGTAAAGAAAAATCGATATTTTAACTGATTTTTCCACACAAGCCCGTCGAAAGTATGAATAAGTGCATTTTGGAGTCGGAAAAATTACCGCAAATTTGTTTTGATTTTTGAGTTATTTTTTCATGCAAGCCTTTTTAACCACAGAATGTTATTAATGTGTTAGACGTAATAATAAAATTGGCATGAGTATCGGATGTGGACGAAACGAAGGCTTGAGTCGGAAAGTTGCAGGAAAATTGTATGGAAAATGTCACAATTTTCCCACGTTAGATGTTTGACATATGCTTAGAAAAAGTGATTCTAAGACTATATAACAAAAGGCTTGAGTGTCGGACATGGTCATCATATTAATTATATATAATTTATTTAACAAAAACCTGACAAAAAAGTTTATAAATTTCCACCATTTTCCCACACAAGCCTTTTGACATATGCTTAGAAAAAGTGATTCTAAGACTATATATAAAAAGGCTTGAGTGTTGGACATGGTCTTCATATTATTTATACAAAATTTATTTAAAAAAATGCTGACAAGAAAATCTATAAATATCCACCATTTTCTCACACAAGCCGTTTGGCATATGCTTGGAATCATTTATAATTCACCATATAAAAAAAATAAAACCAAAACCCAAATATCAAAACCTAAATATCACCCTAAATCATCTAAATATCGATTCTCAAAGTTATTTTATATTAATTTTATTATAAGAGTTGTCTCGGGGCCGGACTATTCAACGACTAATTTTATACCTTTTAAATGTTTATTAACTTAACGCCCTTTTAAATGAATGTAAAAAATTCAAATATTTCAGTTCAGATTAACTAAATAAATGTATATCATAGTACTTACCAATTATTTAATTTGAAGAAAAATAACTAATGTAATGAACACAACAACCTGTAACTTCAATTTTACCAAAAACAATAACGCACAATAATTATTTAATCTAATAACTTGTATAATTTGAAATAATGTCACATAATATCACAGGAACATCAACATTTTCTAATAGACTTCAAGAAAATCATTTTGATCTGTTAAAAGATTTATCTCATGACATTCTTGATTGCTTTAATATCTTACATAAATGCGATTTAAAATGGTTTCGAAGTGTCTATTTTATAGAATACTTGATTGTCATCATTAAATTCTAGGATAACTACTTCTTCATGTTTAGTAGCTGCATTTTTATTTTATACATACATTAATTTTATAAAAATTCAAAAATATCTTTGTAACGAATCTGTTAATAGGGCCAAGTCCTTTCACCTCTGTTGAAAGTAACTACTTCTGATTAAACTATAGGAATAATGTTTGTTAATCTGTCAAGTAAACCTACATGTAACTTTACTCAGAGGTTAAAAGATCGACCCTTAACAGGTATTTTAAAGTTTATATTTAATAGCCCTTTGAAAGAATATATAAATTTTTCTATAAAATAAACATATTGTTAATTCAGCACTAAATTCATATTAAAATTTACTATACGAATAATCACCGAACAATAAATAATAATAACTTTGCATAAATATTTATTTGTAAACTTTTTGGTCAGTTCTTTTTTAGATAAATAATATGCTCCATGTCCAATACTCAAGCCTTTTGTTATATCGTTTAAGAATTACTTTTTCTAAGCATATGACAAACGGCTTGCGTGAGAAAATGGTGGAAATTTCTATATTTTCTTGTCAGCTTTTTGTTGAATAAATAATAAAGATATAAATAATATGGTGGCCATGTCCGACACTCAAGCCTTTTGTTATATAGTCTTAGAATCACCTTTTCTAAGCATATGTCAAATGGCTTGTGTGGGAAAATTGTGGCAATTTGAATACATTTTTCCAGCAACTTTCCTATGTTCTGAAAATATGAAGACCACGCTCTGCACTCAAGCCATTATTTTTTTCTGGTCTCTTAAATTCATAAGTTTTTATTGCAAAAAATTTCGTTGATGGGAAAATAACTGAAAAATCGAAAAAAAAATTCTGTTAAATTTCCCAACCTAAAAATGGACTTATCCACTCGCGCCACTCAAGCCAATATGTTTTTCGGGCTAGTGACGATGTATGTATTCATACTCTAGATTGGCTTGTGTGGAAAAATCAGTTAAAATATCGATTTTTCTTTACAAGATTACGCCCTCATTTCAACTCTTTAGCCACTTGCAACATTAAAGCCTTTGGTTTTCCGAAGCCTAGTTCTATTAGTTAATCATATAGTGAAAACGGCTTGCGTGGAAAAATAAGCAAAAAATACCATTTATTTCTGTTAAGGAAAATCGAATTTTCCATATGTTATCCCCAGGGGCCGCTCGTAAATTTGCTTTCATTCTACTCAAAATCGATGTACTTTTCAACCCTCTTCGAGGCTTGCATGCGAAAATGGGGCACCTAAATCAGTCACTATCTGACGGTCTATAAGGAGGATGTACAGGCTTAAAAAGGCCTGAGGGGCGTGGGACCGTCCACATTCCACGCGCTACAGACATAGAATCTATAGTTATTCAAATAGTTTCTTACTTCTGATTTTTCATAAATAATTGTCATTTACTTTTTGTTTTTGTCCTGTATTTCTGATATTTTATTGATTATGGTTAAGCTTTTCATCTTTTTCCTATTTTTGTCCAAATTAGCAAGACAATGTTGGACAATTCGAGTTTAAAAAAAAAATTCCCTTAAAATTACTTTTTACCTTTAGATTCCCAAATTTCAATAAAACGCCTTACCTGTTTTCTTCGTGCACAGTGTCCATTAAAACTCTTTAATTATATTCCTTTTCCCCTGGTGGATCGTAAGTTTCCTTTATTAAAAAGTTTTAACCAAAAAACGACAAAACTCTATACCGTTTCCTTGAAAAATTATTGTTCTTATAATTCAGTAAACACCAGAATGTAAAATAGTTTGTAGCACAGATTATCCACTAGTAATAGGGGTTCGAACAAATATCACAGGCATCTGTTTATCGCCTCTCTATATTATATTATCCAGTTATTCTAGAGACACAGCATCATTGTTTAAAAACTGGACCAAAGTTTTGTCGTCGGTACAATGTGAGATGTTGATCTGAAACAATCAGAAATTAAATTAGTTTACTGTTTGTCTTATATTTGGAATAAAATAAGGCCATGATCCAATAAGTACAATAAACTGTACTTGAAATACTTGGCCATGCCATTGATAAGATTTGTTTAAGAATTAATATTTAAGGAAAACATATTTCATAGAAAGTCATAAACTCATTTCGTTTCACTAAATAAATTCTAAAGCTTAATTTATAACCGCCGCCGTAACGTCACTTAAGTACTTAACGTAAGAAATTGAAATATTGAATTTACGTATACTTATTTATAAAGTTCGTAACGTAACTTAAGAACTTAACGTACCGTAGAAAGTTCGCCAGCTTTTAACTTAACAACTTAAGACCTTACGGTCAGCCAATGAGAGTTCAACATGTGATAACTGTCAATTATTATTTTAATTTTTTTTATAAATGAATGGACAAACACCATTTGTAAACTATTATTCTCCTTTTTTATGGACACAATATATCATCAAGAATTATTTGTGTTTATGTTATTGGGGATAAGCTATTTATGAGATATGGATATTGCTACATACACCTATATTAACATCAAATCAAAAACTGAAATAAGATACAAAACTAGCTTACTAGGAAAGATTTAATTCTCATTATTGCTCAAAAACAATCAACATATTGTGTAAACTATTCTGTTTTATTATATTTTTATATTATTGCTTCTAAAGTAGTTAAAATATTCTTTCTTTATATCAAAATCATAATTTATGGGTTTTATTTGGAGGTTAGTTATATAGTTAACACTTGTTTATTTCTAAGGTTGTCGGTAATTTGATAATCTCTGAAATATAACACGCATGATCAATTGCTCAGCTCTTACGTTACGGACATTTATAAATAGACTTCATTTTTATACCTTAGGTTAAGTTTCTACGGCGTTAAGTTAAGTTACGGTGGTTATAAATCCCACAGGGTAATGAATTAGGACCAATGTCGTACGTTTTATTTACAACTGATTAACCAATGCATGTGAATACCCACGTGACCATATTTACAGACGGACAATGCTGTGTTTAAAATTAATCACAATCCATTAAAAGCTTCGAAAATACCGTAAAATAGTTTAATCCTTGGTGTACATAAACCTTTCAGTATTTCTGTACATTACCATGTACATTAAATTGTATTGAGTCATAAGAAATTCAGAATTATTTTTCTCCTAATCTACATCTGTGCATCAAAAAGTACCTTAGACTAGGTAATAAAGAGAGGACGCGTAACAAGTATATCGAGCACACGTAGTATTCTGTGCCGATTATCTATTGGCCGCCATTATTTTGGTGCTAATCATTTTGGTGACACAAAAGTTTTTGTTCGTGTTTATTTCTGATTTTTGAATTAAACGACATTTAATAATTGGTTTATTACAATGGTTTATTGTGTGACATATCAGTGTTAAAGTTATAGCGGCAAGAAATAAGCAGATATTACATTTTACAGGTAAATAATAAACATCAATCATTTTCATTTTATGTATTTTCTTATATTTTTCATTTTATTTGGTGTTATAAAACTTGGTATTTACATATTGTACATGTCTCACTCCAGAGTAATGAATTTTATTTCCAAGTTTGTTTATTTTATGCTTTTCACTGATATTTAAGCAATTAATGATATTTAAATGGCCAAACATGTAATTTTTTCCAGTGGCGTGTCGTCTAAATATTAACTTTTATTAAATCCTAATTTACCTATTTAATGGCAGCAATGTTTATTTGTTGGTTTATTTTAGATTTCCTGTGGATCCAGCAAAAAAATCTTTGGATTCAGGCAACGAAAATTGCAAATTGGATGCCTACGCCAAATGATAGATAGTTTAAAAAAAAAAATATTGAAAGACATTTTTTTTTATGGGACGAACTGTAAAAGACGTTTACTAAATGAAGCAGATTCCACTATATTTCCTGAATTCTCTAAATATATGCAGTCGAAGAAGGTGCGTATACTAATAAACATAATTAAACATATATATTTTTACTTTCCTATCTGTATACAGATATAAGAAAATTATAGTAATCATGATTTTTTTCGACCTCGAGTTTTCGACCTCGAATATTCGACCTCGAGTTTTCGACCTCGAGTTTTCGACGGATTTTTACGTTTTGAAATCCCCTGAATCCATTTTGACTATTTTCGCGATGATGTGTGTGTGTGTGCGTGTGTGCGTGCGTGTGTGCGTGTGTGCGTGCGTGTGTGCGTGTGTGTGTGTGTGTGCGTGTGTGTGCGTGTGCGTGCGTGTGTGCGTATGTCTGTGCGTGTGTGTGCGTGCGTGTGTGTGTGTGTGTATGTGTGTGTATGTGGGTGCGTGCGTGCGTGCGTGTGTGTGTGTGTGTGTGTGTGTGTGTGTGTGTTTGTGTTTGTGTGTGTGTGTTTGTGTGTGTGTGTGTTTGTGTGTGTGTATGTGTGTGTGTGTGTGTGTGTGTGTGTGTGTGTGTGTGTGTGTGTGTGTGTGTGTGTGTGTGTGTGTGTGTGTGTGTGTGTGTGTGTGTGTGTGTGTGTGTGTGTGTGTGTGTGTGTGTGTGTGTGTGTGTGTGTGTGTGTGTGTGTGTGTGTGTGTGTGTGTGTGTGTGTGTGTGTGTGTGTGTGTGTGTGTGTGTGTGTGTGTGTGTGTGGTTTGTAATAAAATATAATTAAACTAATTTAATATACATATTTTTACCCAATTTAAAACTAATTAACTTAATACCTAAATGTTATTATTTAGTTATTAATAATAAAATAAATTAAGTAGATTAATATGGAATTGATTATAAATTATTTAATTATTAACAATATTAATGTGAAAACTTAATCCTTTAGCTTGCTTCATGCTAGAGTTTACTGTGGTTTCAGAAACTGATGACGTATCATTACTAACAACATTAACATTAGGGACTAAGTTGTTTAAATTATTATAGCTAAGGTTAGTTATTTCATAACATGAATAATTGGCAATAACGTCGCTAACTTGCGTGGAAATAAAAGGGGAGTTATCTTTTATTATATTCGCATTATAAATATTTTGTGATGTGCAAGGGATATCATCATCCATTAATATTAAATTACATACATTATTTATTTTAATTAAAGTAGAATCTACGTAGCCCTCTGCGACGGTAGACGACATCCAGCCCCATGTATTTTAACTGTTAGAAGGTCACCTCCAGAATTTGCCAACATTGTTGCTGATGACTTTCTAAAACAATGTCCAGTATACATAGTCGGATTAGGCCATTGAAGATAATTTGCTACAATAGCTTGCATTTTGCCAAATGTATTTATGCCTACTGGCTGTTTGGTGCACTTGTTTTTTCCATATTTCAAAAAGAACCTGGAAGTCGCCATCATAGAAGGTCTTAAAGCAATATATTTTTTAATAAAAGATAAATAATCAATTTTTGAATTGATGGGATTTAAAATAGTAAAAATTCTTTCCGTCCCATTTTTAGTTTAAGGAATTTTAATAATTAGTACTGTTTCTTTGTCTTCGAAATCATCATATTTTAAATTTGTCAATTTGTCTCTTCGGCATGCGCCGGAAATGACAATTATAAATGCCACCTGGAAAAAAACAATATTAACTGATGACTTTATTACTCACTTCAGCAGAAAAAAAGTTTCCTTGGCGCGGATTTGAACCCGGGATCTTCGTCACCGGAGACAAGCATTTTATCACTGCGTCACTATAACTCTTTGTTATATTATTTATATTTGTAATTTTTCCATAAAAATGAGTGCTAAATTACAACACTATCAGTTTTTATTATAAATATTTTAGGTATAATTTAAATATACTTATAATAATTATTGTAAATTATGCTTACTCTAATCATTAGAAAAGTTAAATTTGGAGCCTTTTTGGAGAAAAATTAATAAGTGATTTTTTCGAAAATGTTTGATTTTTTAGCCCTGTATTCCTTGCTCTTGTTTTTTACAAAACCAACTAATTTATAATATTTTGATATGTCAATATTATTTTTGATTTTTAAAGTTGATTTTAACACATAAAATATCGACCATGTTGTGAATGGATTATAGTATTCTAATTCACTTGAAAAATATGCCACCAGGACAGTCTTAGAATATTTGGTAATTTTATTTTTTTTACACCCTTCCATAAAGAAATTATATTTCGACTCATAAATGTTGGCTGATTTTTGGGGCAATAAATCTTTCGAAGCATTCTGTGCTGCATCCAATATATTTGGTGGCGTATTTTTGAAATAATCATCAGAATTAGATGAATCCATTGTTAAAATGAAGTTTGTATAAATGGCTGTTTTGTTTTCTAAAGAAAATATCTACAATGATAATAAAATAATTACCTAAATATAAAATAGATATATTTTTACTTACCCTATTTTAGTTTAAATGTTGAATAGAATAAAGAAATTTAAGAAATGTCTCACAACACGTACTAAATGTCAGTCAATCTTAGCAAGATTGTTGGAAATCTTTAATTACAATTTTTGTAACTTTTATAATTATTAAATTTAATTTTCTATTCACTAATAGGTATTTGCTGAATTCAAATAAAGTTTTGATGTATGATTAAAACAAAAAAATAAAGCAACTAATTTATAGTATTTTTGAATATTGATATTGTTAAAATGTCAAATTAAATAAAGAAGTGTCAGTTATCCATAGCCAACTTAGCTGGATCGTTAGGAACTTAAATAATTTTCGTCAACCATGGAATAAGATTTCACAATAATTTTTATTAATATAATATATAAACTGGATTGAAATATATATATATATATATATATATATATATATATATAGATTCGTCCTGCCGACTTTGTGACATCATGTCGCAAAAATGTTGCTATCTTTCTAACATCCGTCTGCGATGTGACATCCAAATTCGGATGTCACAACGTTTTTGGGGTTCAAACATCATAAAGGAGGTTTAAAAGGGAGCCAAAAAAATTTCAGCTGGATGTCATAATGCTTAATTTTCAATTTTATGTATATATTTAGTTCC